AAACGCTTACATGGTGCACAGGCTGCAGCTGACACCTAGAGTTGGGGGGAGGTGGTATTCAGAGTTTTAGGGTGAGTTAGCTCCATTATTGTGGGAGCCCAATATAGTACCTTTAAATTTGTGGGGGCATTAGGAAGAACTAATTGCCCTTGGGGTCCTTGGACTTCTCACCCTAAACCTTTCCAATTCCAGGCTCAAATCTAGCTTAATTAATATAGATGTGTAACAGTGATTCACCAAGCGATAAACACCTCAACAGAAAGATTCCTGAGGCCTAGTAATCTTATTATACCAAGAAATAAGAGAGGAAGAGAAATCCTACCCAAAGAGCCCAAGTCTGTTATCCATGTCTCCCCTCTTCTATTTACTAGACTGAAGACATGAAGCCCAACCTCTCCAAGGAAGGCCAATTTATTCAACAAAAGTTCAGGGCTTCCCATTCTCTCATTCCCTCTACCTCCTTCCTCCTCCAGCAAGAAAGTGTTTCAGCTGGATGGAGGGTAAGGCTGGACCATATAGTCTCCCTCAGTTGGAATCTGCCCCCCTCCAGAATCTCCAGCTTCCTTCCTCAGACAAAAATTCAGACCTAAAGGAACGAGGAAGAAGGACATGAGAGAAGAAAATAGGAAAAAAAGGTGTTTCTATGGGAGTCATGCCATGTCCCCCAAACTCTTTGTTAGGAACAACTTGAAAGTTTCTAATGTGTCCTTCAGTCGCTGAAAGGTTGTGTCTTCTGTTTTCCATTAAGGAGAGGAAACAATAAAATATGGGCCATATCCAAACTATGTTCAGGAATTCTCTTTCCTGTTTACACTTCTTATTTACCTTCTTATACCAATGAGAGAAATGAATAAAACAAAATCAAAATAGCAAAATTGGAACTGCTGAAGATTGAGTCTTAGGATGAACTCAAAAGGAAAATTAAACCTTAGTATCTGGTTTGCTTCTCCTCTTATTCCTTCTCCTTTAGGAAAGATGATGAATCCTGATCCCTATAATGAAGTCACTTGATAGGAGAGTTAGACCCTCCACTGCACCAAGTAAGCTAGAGAGTTCTAGGCCTGGACCAAGAGAAGAGGCCCAATCTAAAGAGGAAATGGAAAAGAAAACGAAAAAAGGATGGGAGGCCAGGAAAACTCCAAAAGGGGACCAAGGCAACAGTCTAGCAACAAACCTCTGCCCTCCAGGCTATGTGGGGCTCTTTAGGTCCTCAAGTACAGCCCTTTAACTGAATCCAAACTTCACAAAACATCCCCTCAATAAAAGGATTTGTTCTGTAAAACTTGGACTCCATCAAAAGGCTGAACCTGAGGACCTAGAAGGCCACATGTGGCTTTGAGGTCACAGGTTTCCCACCCCTGTTTTAGAAAAACTTCTTTGGGGGAAGGTGGGAGCACCTGGCCTGGAGTAGGGTCAATCTCGGTGAACAGCTCTTAACTTAAATACTTCTTCTCTCTCTTAAAGCACACCCTAATTTGGGTGAGGGAAGCAAAGAAGGGCACTGGCTTACTACATAATGTAGGATTAAGAATGTAAGGAAAGAAATGGAGAAAGAAGTAAAGATAGCTATAAAAGAACTTTAGAAGAATCTTCTGAGAGATTGAAAGGAGAGCATGATATTATTGATCTCTATCTGGACCTCACAGAAGGAAGCAAGCAGTCTCATACTAGGCTGCTCTTGACCATTCCGGGAAATCTGTCCTAATATCTCCAGCAGATGTCCCTGGGATGCCCTGCTCACCAGCTCTTTATCAGAGTTTGCAGAACTTATGTTTGGGAGAAAAAATTATCTCCAGTGCAGGCCTCAGGCTCTCTGTCTTGTGGCTCACGAGAAACCTCTGGCAGGGATGGATAATAGGGAGTATTATAGAGAGGGCATGTTTTCTGGGACAGTATTGGGGGTGGAGTGGACACAAGAAATCAGTATTCTTCCAAGAGGCTCAATCAGCTAGATGGGATGGGGGGGGAGTCTTCATTTCCATTTTTCTAGGTTTTTCCTCCAAATGCTCTTTCTTGTTTGGGGAGGGGAGAAATTGCAAAAGGGTATCTTTTTTTTTAAGAAGTAGATATTTTTAAAAATGTGGGAGTTAAATGATAGCGGTAAAAAGGTCATAATGGAAGTAGGAGGTAGGGTTAATTATTTTAAAATATAATTGTCTGTGATCCTGCCTTTCCTGCACAGAGATCAATGTGTTTTTGGAGAGATTTTTCTTTGAATTGGAAGATGAGAATCCATAGCACAACTACCTCAAAACCTATTCCTGTCCTACCTTCCATTTTTCTTTTTGCCATGCAAAGGTTTAAGAACTTCTCGTTCGTGGAAACTAGGGAGAGAATGAAAGAGAAATGGAGGAAAGGTGAGGAAGGAGATTATTATTTTAGGTAGGAAATAAGAGATAGGACCTGCTTCCTTGTCGGAGGAGTTTGAGCCTCTCAGAGAACTGAGATACCTAAAGTCCTTTCACCTCATCACCAGAGAGAAGGCTGGGTGATTGAATCATGAAACAGCAGCGCAAAGATGGGGTGAGGAGTAGGTGGGTGTTGGGATGGGTCGGAGAACAGAAGAACTGAGGGAAGGCCTTCAGGCCTCCAGGTAAAGAAAACTGTCTTTTGGAACATTCCTGAATAAGAAATTAAAATCTCAGAGATCTTCTATGCTCCCGCTCCCTGGCAGAAAAATAAAACGACCTTTGGGGTGAGGGGAGTTAGAAAAGAAGGTAACAGAGAGAAGAGGGAAACATGTCGCCTGATTTTCTCTCCTAACTGTTAATCCTTTCCTTCTCTAGAGAATTATATTCACTTCCCTTGAAGGACTTTCAGGGAGTTTGTTCCATTTTCTCCCATGCCTCCAAACTAAAAAGCAGTCGCCTATTCCTATTTAGAGCTGTCCGAGAGTACTTTGGGCAGGTTCACCCCAATTGGACAGTTTTTCCTTTCTCTCGCATTTCCCTCCTCTCCAGTCCCACTGCGCTTGAGGACCAGAGGGGTCTGCTTCCAACCCTGAAAAGCCACAGGGAGCAACCCTAAAGGAGCAGAAGTAGAATTCTAAGGCCGAGAGTTGAATCACACGAAACCAACGTCTAATAGCGCCCAGGGCCAAGTTGCCCCGGAACTCTTAGAGTATCTTTTCCCTGATCATTCATTTGGGGTAAGCATAGTGGAGACAACTTTCATCTCCCCATACCCCTAGGCGGACGAACTACACTAGTTCCTTTACTTTGAGGAAGAGGAGTGGCCCCAAATTTCTAGCACATAAACTTGCTACAATCCCCAGGCCAGAGTCTTTCCTTCCACTGTCAATCTCATTCGAACTTGCTCCCCAAGTTTGCGGAAACTTTGTAGGTTCTGGCCCCATCCAAAAGCTGGCCGGGTGCCTCAACCTCAAAGTTGACGTGGCGCTGGAAAAGCTCCCCCCAACCTCTCGAAAAACACTCCCCCAAACAAACAATCGACAACGCCCCAGATTTTGGATCTTCACGGAGGCCCCCTCCCTCCTCTGGCTAGCCTGCCAGTTCGGAGTGGGGGCAGAGCAAGACCAAATTGCCCCGCAATAACGCTCAACAGCCGTGAAAGCTACCCTTCCCCCACCCTCTTCTCATCCAACCCCCAAGTCCCTATTGCCCTAAAACACCAGGGAGAGGGGAAAAGGAACTGGACTTACTTTGGAGAACGCTGGGCCTCGGGCCTCCCTCAGCCGCCGCCGCCGCCTTTGCTGCTGATGAGGCCGGGCCCTCAGCTCCTCTCAGCTGGGAGAGAGCTCACCTACCTCTGCCCCCTTCCCTGCCACTGCGAGCAGTTAAAGTGTCACTTACATTCTCGAGAATGTGAAATATACCGCGCGGTGTCAACTCCCCAAAACCATAAAACTAACTTTATGGACCTCACGTGACTTTCTCGAGCCAGTGAGGGGTATCTGTCTGACTTCTCGGCGATTTTTACGATCTAACTTCGAGATAAAACCCCTATCCATTTGACATCTAAATGTCATAGCGACTTTTGGGATAGTTTGCTAACGATAAAGGAAAAAAAATAAAGGGGGGAGGGAAAAGGGGGGCGAACAGACACTCCTGGACTCTCGACCAGTCGCCTCCCTAGCTCTCCCTCCCCCTCCCCCCAAGTCCTGTAAGAAGTTTGGCTAAGAAGGGAGAGATTGAGCTGGGTAAGTGATCTAACTCGACTTTACTTGCGGCGGGCGGAGGCTGGCTTGTGGAAGCTTGAGACACCCTGGCTCTGGGCCAGCCAAGACTGAGGCGGGATATGGGAGGAATAAGAGGGGTACCCCTTACTCATCAGGAGTGAAGGTCCGCTAAGGTATCCTGGTGCTGAGGGGAAAGAGAGAGAGAGAGAGAGAGAGAGAGAGAGAGAGAGAGAGAGAGAGAGAGACAGAGACAGAGAGACAGAGAGAGACAGAGAGAGAGACAGAGACACAGAGACACAGAGAAAGAGACAAAGAGAGTTAGGATGAGAGCAGGAGAGATGGGGAACAACGAAGAGGACACCATTTAAAGCGAACTGAATTTCATTTGGTGGGTGGTAAACGATAATGGGATTTGGTAGCTCATATTCTACCACAGTTGTTACCCCTTTCCCCAAGCCAACCCCAGAGAGGAGCTGGGCCTCAAGCCAAAGGATTTGGGCCTAAGTAGACTTCCCTGAGGATATTCAAAGGTGACTTTTTGGAGACTAGTGTTAGTGAAAGAGCCAAGAGTGGGCACTGGCCTGGCCTTCCTTCTTGACAGTTTTTGTTGCTTCTGGGGCCTTTCAGTAGTCAAGCAGGGAATAAATCTATCTTTCAGCATAAAACAGAGAGGGAAGAGAGTGGGACTGAGTATTGATAAGTGGGGGACAGTGTTGGGGATCAGGGATGGAGCAAAAGGGAAAGGGCCCTTCTCACACCAAACCGAGAGAAAGCATTTGGGGACCGTTTTGGTGGGTTTTGTTTTTGTTTTGCTGGAGCCGATGAGAGAGGCCCAGACAAGAAAAGACCAGGATGAGGGAGGTGGAGTAGGAGAGACATTTATTCGACTTCAAGAAAAGCTACAAACAAATACAAAAAGCGTATCACTGAGACGTTCCGGCAAAGACAGATTTCACACAGAACACAGCATCCACTCGGCTGACTACAAATGGTCTTGGGGGCAGAAGGATTGGGGAGAGGGTTCACCCGAACCTAAGTATTCCAATATTTACACACCCTGGGGCCTTGAAGATTGGCCTGATACACACCTAGATTTTCCATTTGATCAGGCTTCCCCCCCCCTTTTTTTTTTTGGCTTCCTCAAAGTCTCAGGTCCCGGCTTCTTTTGCTGAGACTGAGACTTGCACCTTAATATCCCCTTCTGACCAGTTCCAGGCCTATCCCTCTGCCACAGTCCCACCCAGGATTAGGCAAAAAGGGAGATCCAGGCCTGGATGAGAAGAGGAGAAAGGGAGAGGGGGAGAAAAATATATGTACATATTATATCTTTTTTTCCCCTATATTGGCAGTTAATCTGAGATTATTTTCCTTTCGTCCCCACTGAACGTCTCTCTCCCATCCCAGGCCCCCACCTACACCCAACTGCAGTTCAAGTACAGAGATTCCAAGCTATAAACGCAAATGTATCCATCCTCCTTTTATAAATAAGTTAGAACACAGAAAGGGGAGGGGAATTCACATTAAACATGCGAGTTTCTTTCCTTTTTGGGGGGGAGAAGCAATCACGGACACGAACATTCAGAAACACTGATGGGGTAGAGGAGGGCTTGGAGTGGGAAATAATAATAATTATTAATTATAATAACAATAATAACCAGTCCAAAGAGGTTGTGGGAAGGTAGGGAAGGGGCAGGAGGACCTAAGACCGAACGGAAAATCTCAAGCCACAGCAATGCTGTGGCGCGTTCGCTTCTACCGCATTAGGAGTCGGTTCTAAGTCCACAGAGAGCGACAGAAAGGAAGAGGCCGGCGCCTGGAGACTGACTGTGTGTGGAGGAACTGGGGGGGTGGGGGGATTGACTGTGGGTTTGGGCTCCTCCAGAATTCAGGGCTGGAAGGCGCTGCCGGCAGTAGCCAAACTCATGCTCTTCAGTTTGTTATCTTTCTTCCATTTCATCCGGCGGTTCTGAAACCAGATCTTAATCTGCCGCTCCGAGAGGCAGAGAGCGTGGGCGATCTCTATCCTCCGCCGGCGGGTGAGATACCTATTGAAGTGAAACTCTTTCTCCAACTCCAGGGTCTGGTAGCGAGTGTAAGCGGTTCGTGCCCTTTTTCCATCCGGGCCGGTCATATCTGGAGCAGACAGACAACAGGGCAGCGAGACTGCAAGGTTATTCCGGTTAAGGAGAGGAGAGATCTTGGGGGGGGGGACCCTAACGTACCCTGCACCCAGCTCACCAGTGCGTTGAAACTCCTCTCCCCCCCCGCCAGACGCCGAAATCCTGGCTGGTTTTCAGAGCCCCCCCCCCCCAATATCCATCTCTGCAGGCGAATTAAGCTCGCTTTGTCTACTGCCTCACTCCCTGCCTCGCCTTTTGCCTGGGTTTTCGTCCTCCGCTCCTCCGGGGAGGAGAGTAGACAACCGGACTTTTGCCCGGATAGTGCCATTTTATCCCTTCTCCCCCCCCCAGCTTGCCTCCGCCTTTCTCACCCCACAAAGATTCACTTAATATTGGGGGGGGACGGCACATGATGATTTCATAGGCAGCATCACCCCCACCCCTCAACACCAAGAAAATATAGCCAGGAGAAAAGAGAAATCCAGTCATAAAAATAATTTAAAAAATATACCCACCCCCATGAGAACCTCGTCTGATTCTCTCTCCCAAGCTACAGGGACGCCCTCAAAGACCTCGCTCCCTTAAAATATATTATTTACATATATATTTTAAAAATCACCATCATCTCATCTTCCTTCAAACGTAAAAGAAAACAGACACGATTTTCTTCCCACCTCCCCCCCCAGGAAAAAAAAACAAAAAAATCAAAAATATACCGTGGCTAATGTGCAGCTTCCTCATCCAGGGGAATATTTGTGGAGTCTGTCCCTCCGTTGTCGCTGTGGAGGTCGCGATGGGTTCTGTCTGGGCTCGGCTTAAGCTGCTGTTATTTAACTGACTTGCTTCTTCGGGCTCCGAGGACGCGCTGGTCTCGTCTATTTCTGTAAAATTGGTGTTGGAACTGGCAGAGGTCGCCTGGTCGGAGGGGGACGAGGCAGAGGGCTTGCCTCCGTGGTTGTCGCTGTTGGAGCAGGGCAGGGACTCAGGAGAGGACAGGGAGCAGCTTGAAGCCTGCCTGAACCGGGACTCCTGGCCGGGCGAGGGGGAAGGCACGCGAGGTCTCCCCCACCGCCCCAAAGTGGCTGGAGGAGGCTGAGGAGCGGTTGATGCTGAGATCCATCCCATTGTAATTGTAGCCGTAAGAGCTGGTATGCATGGTAGCAGAATCCCTGTAAGAACCGTTCAAAGAGCTGCTACTGCCATAATTTAGCAACTGATAGTCCGGGCCATTTGGATAGCGCCCCGAGAACGAGTTTACAAAGTAAGAGCTCATTTGGGTTATTTTGGAGGGCTTGATTTGTGGATCGTGGTCGTTATAACCCTGTGCTTCACGATTTATGATGTATTAATGAATTATAGCAATGCACTGTACTTCGTTTTGCTATGTATGCGGCCAAATATGGGGGGGGGGTAAGAAGGGGGGATGGGGGGGCGTTGGGGAATCACGTGCTTTTGTTGACCAGTCGTAAATTCTCGCTGATGACCTCAAGAGGTAATTCATGCTCTATGGTTACAAATAATGACGATCTGAGAATCGTTAGGGCCGATTCAATGCAAGCCTTCCAAAAAAAAGAAAAAAACCGAAGGGGAGAAACAGGGAGAAGGTTCGAAGCAGCCTCTTAGCATAGCTCGCCACCTCCCGGCGATAGTTGGAAGTGCAGGCGGAGGCCGTGATGGCGGCTGCCTCCCTCCCTTGAGGAAAGAGGAAAAGAGACTGAGGAAAAGAGCAAAGACGGGGGAAGTACAATCATTTGAGAATGGTGTTGAGTTGACCCTTCTTACAGGGGGGACATTACTCTATCTTCTGTTATCTCTCCTTTTAAATGTGTACGCGAAGCTCAGAATGCTAACATTCTTTCTCTTAGTCCCCTAACTCTCATGCTTTTTCCCAGTGGGGGAAGGGAGAGTGTGTATGAAATAACTATTTCAACCGATTTTCCATAAGGTTCCAAGATTGGGAGAACCCAGGCTTGGTCTTGGTTCGAAATCTCTTAAGTATTAAGGTAGACATGGAAAAGGATTTGGAGACTATAGGAGGGACTTCCAAAAGAGCAAGCAAGCAAGCCCTTTTACTTTCCAGGAAAATCTGGGACTGGACCCCTGTCCTCTATTCTTACCCAAAACCCCAGTCCTGTCCAGGGGAAGGGAAAAGGGGAAATACAGAAGCAAGTCAAGTTGATTATGAAGGAGATAGTAGGAGAATAGTGAGATAAGTAACTGACAGTTAATTTGGATGGAAGAATGAAGATTTCAGAATATAGACGCTGGTGGAACCTCTAGTGAGTGAATTGGAAGAGAAAAGAGGTTCCGAGGCTCCAAATCCTTTTTTGGGCCTAAAAAAGACTCGAGGACTACCTTTCCTTTCCTATCTGCCCACAATCCAGTGGAGCTTGGCAGAATTGAGCTTGTGGACTCCTGCGATGCTTTGTTAGATTTCCAGACAGTTTTGGAATTTTCAGAGCTTGCTTGCAAATCGTAATTACGTGCCATATTGAAAGTGACACAATTATAATAATTAGGGACTATGAAAAGAGCCCTAGCGATCACAAAATGCCCTAAAGCTGGAGAAGCTTCTGCCTAGATTGCAAAAGAAAAAAGGAAGGAAGGAAGGAAAGAAGGAAGAGGAAGAGGGAGGAAGGAAGGGTGGAAGGAAGGAAGGACATCATTCCCGTTTTCTTTGGCAGGAGGAAAGTGACAGGTCAGACTTGGTGTTTTTTGAGGGAGCAGAGGACAATTTCCCTTCTCCCCTTCCCTATCACCTTCCCTGATCACTATCTGCTCTAAGAAACGAAGAGAAAAACCGTAATGAAGCTCTCCTAGTCACCCGGGCTTCCTGTTTGCAAGTCGCAGATGAATTGACTGCTCTGACCGGGAACTGAGGAGCAAAGCGGAAATCAAATCCTCTACCCCAAACCTCAAGGCTAGGCAGGCAAGAAACCAGCCTTTCTGTGTCTCCTCTGTGCCTTCTCAGACTAGGGAAGAAGAGGAGAGTGGAAGGGAAAAGGAACAACTCAACTCACGAAGATTCTTTCTCTATAGCTTTTATTCCTGGGGCCCTGATCCTCTCCGCCCAGATTTCTGGGTCCTCAGCCTGGCCCTGGGTTCGTTAGTAAAAAACAAGTAAGGGGCGAGGAGGCGAGAAGGCGAGAAGGGCGGGGGGGGGGGGTGGGGGATGAGGTTGGACAGTCATAGACAGAGGCCCCGAGGTTTGAGAAAGCGAAAGAAGAGAACAGATGTTGGAAAGATGTAGCCCCAGCATTGGCGAGCCTTCCTCGAAGCCTTGGGGGAATCACTCTCCCTTGCTCCGCGGATTTATAATGTATGGGGGTGGGGTAGGGGTGGGATTCCTTAACACAATTGTCGGGTTGGAGATAAAATAGGGGAGCAGAAAAGAAAAAAGAAAGTCGGACTTCAGGCTGTGAATGCCATCCCAGAGTCTGCGGTGATCTTGGAGCTAATGTGAAATGTAACCAAGAGAAGAGGGTTGGGGAGGGAGGCTTCAGGCATTGGGACTGAATATATTTGTCTCAGTTGTAATTTCCGAATTCTGTCTTGCCCAGCCTATCAGCCTCATCCGAGCCAAGCGAGTGACCCCGCCGGAGAATCTGGGCGTTACATCGGGGTTTACTTGCAACCAGCCGGCGGCCCACTGGGATTGTCTTCAGACTGTTTGGGGGCTATTTTTCCCCGGAAAGAAAGAAGTGTGGGGGGGTGTCAACGACCGGCAGAGTTTTCACATTTTTATTATCATTGATATTAATAATAATATTATTATTACCGCAGTATTTCACGTCGGAGAGCTAAGACAAAACTACAACACAACACATAGAAAAATTAATAAAATAGAACTTTGTTTTTCTTCTGCGGCTGCTCTTCTTCCTCTTAGGTAGTCTGTGCTCCTTCCAGTGGATTAAGGGGGGAGGGGAAGAGGCGACAGGTCTGAGGGATAGGGGGAGGCCCCCCCCCTCGAGACCTCCCCTCTCAAAAGGGAAACCAAATCTCTTATTCAACCGTGCATGGGACACTGTACAAAATGAAGACAAGACACGGAAAACAGCGATTTGCTTTGCTTCCGGGAAACACAACATGAGCGAGTTCCTTTCGGTTCTCAACCGGAGTACACAAACTGGGGACCCCAGGTAGCTTTCGTGGGAGGGTTAGAGATGTAAGAGACAGAGAAGAAACCCTGGAATGGGGGCCAATCTGGAGCTCTAGTGGCTAGTAGCTGACGGGAGTAATCTGCAGGGTGGGAGCTCCACAGGGAATGGAATTAGTCCAGCCTCTCTCTGAGGTGCTCGAGAATTTCTCACTCACGCTCTTCCTGCTCCCTCCCACGAAGGCATATGATAATATGATGCTTATTTTCGTTTCCCCCACCTCAGCCACCTCCCCTGCCATTCCTCTTCACTTTCCTTCCCTCCCTCCCTCCCTCTGTCCCGGTCCTTCCTGGAGATCACTCTGTGGGCTTTTCTTCCTCTGCCTCCGGGCTGAGCTGGGAAGAGTTGAGCATCTTATTCTCCTTTTTCCATTTCATCCGTCGGTTCTGGAACCAGATTTTGATCTGTCTCTCGGTCAGGCACAGGGCGTGCGCGATCTCGATGCGTCTCCTCCGCGTTAGGTAACGATTGTAGTGGAACTCCTTCTCCAGCTCCAGGGTCTGGTAGCGGGTGTATGTCTGACGGCCTCGCCGCCCGCTGGGCCCAAAAGAAGAACCTGTTACGTGGAAAGAAGACATTAGGACACGGTCACCCACTCTCTGTTCCCTCCTTCCCACTCCTCTCTGGGGACCCTGACTTCAGAGGAGTAGAGTTGCCTTCTCTTCTGGCCTTGACACAGTTCCCCCTCCCTCCTCAGGTCATCTGCCTCTCCACCTACCCTCTAACCTCCTGGCCTCATTGGTTTGCTCTCAGTTCCTTCTTCCTCACCTCGAGTTGAGGAGTTCGTTGTTTTTGTGGCTGTGGGGGGATCCTACCTGAGGCTACAAGGCTGCTGGGGAGGGGTGGGGAGGATTAGGTATGTGCTAGTCAGGTGTTTGTACTTCTTCTGCCCCTCCAGCCTCTTCCACTTCACTTCCAGATGGCTAGCCTTTCCCCCTCCCAACTGGTGATAGATTTGACCATTTAATCCACAATGACGTGAATCGATCCGTGATACTCTGCATTAACGGTCCGACACTTTCTTGTCCTGCTAATGGACATCAATTTGGGACTCAAAGACAACAAATAATCTGATCTGATACAGACGCCTCTCTTGGTCTCTCCTTATCCCCTTGATAATGAGGAGACAGGATCTCTATGATACACCTTCTCTACCTTTCCTCTCTAGGATTACCTTTATTTTATGCTCCGTGGAGCACAGACCCCTAGCCTCAAGCTTCCCTTTCTCAGTTTTTACTGCCTGCCTCCCTCCCGCTCCCCACCAAGACAAGACTCATTCCATTTCTAATGGGGCCGGATACATGGGAGTAAGAGAAAGGGGTCGTGAGAAGGGGGGAGATGAGAAAGGCAGGTAGCAGGGACCCTTTCCCCTTTCCTCCTCAGTGGTAATCTTCCCTTCTCTTCTTTCCGACTCCCCCACCCTCCTCCCCAGTGCCTCTCTCTGACTGTCTAGGAAGGGAGAGACTACAAAGTTTAGAACTCCAACTGTGAGAAGTGAGAGACCCATCTTCACTCTCTGCCTACCTGGAACCCCTCCCCCCTCAAAACACACCTTTCGGGGGGGGGAGTCCCCGGGCTTATGAGGGAGGGGGTGGTGAATGCTTGATGAGAGCCCCGGGTTGTTTCCTGTTCCTGTGGGGAGGGACAGGCCCAGACAGGCCCAGACAGGCTAAAGGGTCAGGGGGAGGGAAAAAAGTATTGAAAAGCCTCACTCACTGTTGCATGAATTCATCCGCTGCATCCAGGGATAGACAGGCGTGGAACACTTCTGATCCTCACTGTCTCCGAAAACATTTTTGTCTTGGGCGCAGTCGGACTTCCTCGGCTCGGGGTGGAAGGGGGTAGGCTCTTCACTGCTGGAGAGGGCGCAGGAGGACTCTTTCTCCCTGTAGAAGCCGGCTGGCCCATAGTCACAAGCAGCAGCCCGGGCGTATCCCCCGGTCGCCGGTGGATAGTAGGAAGAAGAGGCAAAGCCCTTGTCCTGGACCGCCCCGGTTCCATATGCCGCGGGGTAGTGTCTTAAAGGATCCGCATAGCCCGAGGAGTACAGCGGGAGCTGACCCAGGAACGACTCCTGTCCGTTGGACAGAGTAACTGGGAAGGTGGAGTTCACAAAATAGGAACTCATTGGGAGGGGAGGCGCGGCCGGTGCTGCTGAGCGGGCTTTTATGATTTGTTGTGTTTTATAGTCCGAGCGCCTTAGCTATTAGTAGTATATCCGAGATTGGGTTTTAGCTGAAGGGGGATGGCGAGGTGCCAGTGAGGGACAGAAGGAAATACAACCATATGATCAAACACTGACCAATAGCAGAAGCAGGAATTGCCAAATAGCACCCATGAGGAGCAGGGCTCGCACGAGGGACCCGGGCGCACAAACCTATCAACCTCTTTCTTCTTCTTCTTCTTCTTCTTCTTCTTCTTCTTCTTCTTCTTCTTCTTCTTCTTCTTCTTCTTCTTCTTCTTCTTCTTCTTCCTCCTCCTCCTCCTCCTCCTCTTCTTCTTCTTTTCTCTCTCTCTCTCTCTCTCTCTCTCTCTCTCTCTCTCTCTCTCTCTCTCTCTCTCTCCCTCTCTTTCTCTCTCTCTCTTGCTCTCGCTCTCGCTCTCTCTCTCTGTCTCACTCTCCCTTTTCCTTTCACTCAACAACAGAAACAGAACGCACCCTTCCCCACCTACGTAGGAGCTGCGAAAGAGGCGTCTGTTATCGCTAAGAGGTGGGGGTGGGGAGGAGGTATGAGAGGGGGGAACTTGGAAAAAAGACTACTCCCCCCCCATCTCAGAATGATGAAATAAATATATTCCTGCTCCTGTTCCTCCCCTTCCTCTCCACCATAGGATATGGGGAAAAGTTAATTGTTGTAAGAAAAGTTAATCCCTGCAGTCCTCCTGACCTCCGTTCCCCCAAGGGAAATATCTGGGGAGGAAAGATTCGAGTACCCCGTTGAGATGGACTGAAGAGAAAAGGTTTTATTTTCTCTTTTTTCCCTTCTTTTTTTAAATGGAGGTAGGAGAGGAGCGGAGTTCTCAGCTGTCTAATTAGCTTCGCTTTCAGGAAGGGGGGGGGACCGCGGCCCTGATTTCAAAAATCGTCTTTCCTGTTTATCTGATCGCCAGCTTTCAGCCCAGCCCCGGTCTCGAATTCCTGCCTTTCCCCAATTCTTTGTGCGTAAGGGGCAGGGGGAGTGGAAACAGCCGATTGGAACCCAGCTGCTGGAAGTGGGGGCCGGGGGTAGAGACGAAACGGTGAAGAAGGTGCTCGTGGTGGTGGGGGAAATGGAGACTACTGAAGGGTACCCCATCCTGAACCGTACCCTTTCGAGTTTTTACTATGCCCTCTGGGTCACAGTCGCCCTCCTCCCTAGAGGAAGATAGTAGTCGCAAAGAGGTGTTTCTCACTGTCCTTCTTAGCAGATCTTATCAAAGATAGGGGGACTGGAAGTAGGGGTGTTCGCTCTTCCCCTTTCCGTAGTCGAAGGTGAGAAGGCAAAAAGGGGACCGTCGCCTGGTTTTTATCTCTCTGTTCCAGATTCTGTCCTTCGTCGTTCCTTCCCACTTCCCAAGAAAGTTAAATATCTGGTCCATAAATTCTTACACCCCCCTCAAAAAAAAAGTTCTTTGAGAAAGCTCAGGGCATTAGGATTTTTTTTAAAGGTCAGTAAAGTGCTGACAATTTCCCGCCACTTGATAGTGTCTCTTCAAATTCTTCCGTGCTCCTAGGGGATAAGGAATTGCCGCAACCAAATCTCCTCCTCCTCCTCCTCCAGTTTTCTCGGAGGAGCTGGTTAGGTTTTAGAGAATCTATCCTCTGGCGTTTTGATTGTTTGTTCGGTGAAGGGGGAGGTAAGGTCTGTAATTTGAACTAGTCTTACGTGGAATGAGCGAGAAAATACATTGGGATTTCTCCTCCCCACCCACCCCAATTATCTATCCTCAGCAATTTCAAATCCCTTCTGGGTCTATCTTTCTGCCTCAAATTCTGAAATTCTCCTTCTCCATTCCATGCCCTTTAGGGTATGCAACCCCAAAAGAATTCTGCCCAAGCTTTGGACACTGTCTGTTGTCTCACATCCCCCTTCTCTCCAGAGAAGCTGAGTATTTGTAAATCTGGACTCATATTGCAAAGTTAATAAATTTTAAAACATTCTGCTTACACAAGGGAATCACTCTTGTCACAGACAACAGCTTTTCGGAAGTATGGGCCACCCCTAGACAATCGGGGAAAAGCAGCTTAGGCAGCAGAGGGTGAACTCAGCTTATCTGTGCTTAACTGCTTAGCCTCTAGCTCGCCTCACGTCACGGTCTCGCTTTGTGTGGGAACCGGACCCTCGCCCAAGTAAAAGCAACCATTTAGGCAAGGAATTGGGGTGGCAGGAAGACAAGGCAGGAGAAAACCAAGGGCCACAGGGCTGACTTTGTGTGTGAAGGATGGAGGGAAGGTGTGGAGTTAGTGGAAAAGTTGGTCAGAAGAAAAGCGGCAGCGGAGATATCAAAGGACACAGAGAACTTCCAGGCTTCTAGACCAGACTTTACCCCCCAAGCTTTCTAGTTCTGTGGTCCCCAGCTCCAGTTTGTCATTTTTATCAGACTTAGAAGATTTAAATAACAAAACCAAAAGAAAAAGATTTGGCGAAAGTGGAGGTGGGAGGAAAGCTCAAAAGACAGTTATCGATCTGACTCCCCATTGCTATTGGACAGTTGGATTCCTGATAATTGAATGAATCAGTAGTTAACCCAAACTGATTTTATCTACTTGGTGGTGATGAGAACTATTTGAGTTTCTGAAGAGAGTCAGGGGAAGATGCTATGTGTTCTCTTCCCCCCTCCCCTGCAAAGACCACCTGGGATTGAGGACAGTTCCACCGACAGCAGCCCTCCAGCCCTCACCCCTTTCTCTCTTGATTTGTTATCATTAGAGAAGACATTGAGAGTTGGTCTTCTCATCTTGAGGGTGGTAGTGGCTTGTTTTCTGGGAGCTGTAAGGACTGCAGGGAGAGGGAGGAAGAGCTGGGAAAATTCTATCATCAACAACAATAATCTCTAAGTTCCCCACTCTCGACAGTTGCCTGTCGGGCTGTCAGTCGCAACTGCCGGGGTCCAGGGGCGCCTGGAGCCGGCCATGAAAGAAAATTTCGGCTCATTGCTCTTATCTAAGCCGAGAAGTATTTATGGGCGTTTATTCGTCTGATCCGTTTGTTTGGGATAAAGACCAGGCCGGGAGTGCTTGGTCTGAGCCACAATAGGGTCTGGAGTCAAATCTTAGTGGATCTGTTTGTAGCTGTGTCGATCTGTCTGTAGATGCGAGTGCATAAGTAAATAGACACGTACATACATTTGTGCCTGATGGGAGTATCTCTACCGGTCCGTAGCTCAGTTTACAAATGTGGATGTGCCAAACAGTGTGTGTGTGTGCGCGCGCCAAAGTCTGAAGTAACCACACAGATAGATAGATAACCATACATGCACCTGGGGTGGGGGTGTCAACCTAGGGTCCATTGACTTTTTCAGGGAGCATAAGTAGATTTAAGGGGGTCTGTGAAACTTGGTGGGAAAGAATTACATCTTTATTATTAATCTCTAATTGAAATTTCGCATTTCCTACAATTATTTAAAACCATTATTACGAGAAGAGGTTCATAGGCTTCCCCAGACTGTCAAAGGGGTTCAAAGAAAAAGATTTAAAACCTCTCATCTAGTATACATTAATCTTACAATACTACTGTCTATCTAGTTTAGCTATCTGGGAATGTGTAGGGCTAATTTTGAATATAGTATACTATGGCCATATGTACACACAAGCATTTGTGTCTCCTGCTAGTTGCTCTTAAATTGTGCTTCTTTGGCTGGTATAAATCTCCCACCAATCTGGTTCAGAAAAGGAGAAAAGTGAGAGTACATAGAAACTGGAGAGACTGTCAGTCACCTTCCCTTGAGTCACTAGATTTCTCCAGGATGCCCAACCTTCCTTGGGTTAAGGAACTTTAATTAGGCTTCTAGTCACCCAATCCCACCCAGGAATTCGGTTCCCCCCACAAACTATTCTTAAAGCCAGGAGCCACTCTACATTACAGCAAAATCGGTAGATTTATGGAAAACAAAGGCAGAATAGCATGGGAAAAGATCAGATAAGAGTTTTCTATAAGATGGCCTTAAATCCTAAGTGCCATAAAACGACCTAATTTACGTTATGGAAATTGGTACTGGGTCTCTTATTTTCCTTGGGGCTGCTTATACGAAGCTCACCCCTTTCTCTCTTTCTCCTCTCCTCTTCCAGATTGCTCCAAATCCCAGAGTCACAGATATGAAGCCTTCTTCACTTCCCAGCCCCCACCCTCATCCTCTTCCTCATTATCACCCTCACCTTCATCTCAGGATAATCCTGAAAGTAGAACCTGAGTTTTCCCTTCCAGTAGAAAAGGAATAGAGCCTTTTAAGTGCCCTTTACTCCCTCAGCCCCCTCAAGTGACAGCACAGCGGTGGCCTTAAATCAAGGAACTTATTGAGGCCATAAAGTCTACTCACATGAACAAGAATCTTGAAAGGACAGAGGCTCTAGTTATAGAGCCCTGGACAGCCCCAGAACAACAGGGGTGCCCCTTCCAACAGTCCCTACAGGGAAAATCCCTACAATTTCTCCCTGTTCTTCTCTTGTTTCTGCTCCGCCTAGCCTGGGTAGCTGAGACCCTGAATTACTCTATTTTGAAGTATTGCTAATACTCTCTAACTCCTGAACCCTATTTTGAAGTTTTTGGGGATAAGGAATTTGTCACAGCTACCACTCACCCCCTCATACCCCAGAGCTAAGGCCCTGGCCAAGTTACTAAGGGGGTGGATTGCACCTTGAAAGGAAGCAGGCAAAGCCTGCTCCTTGCAATTGTGAAAGGCCTGAGCTAATCAGTAACTCAAGAGACGGGGCAAAAATCCAAAAGTGCCCACATAATCATTGCTTCCCCCAACCCCAATAATGCCTTTGGCAAAATACTTCATGGTTAAGGGGAAGGAGGTTCTGCAGGGGGGGAAATGAGCAAGTTATTTATTATTAATTTCTCCCCTCATACAAACAACCATACACAAACGAATACATTGAGTGTATTTTTCTTAAGCACGATTTGCATTCATTTCAACTTCTAGAGGGGTGTGGGGGTGGGGAGTAGGGAGCGACGCACTGTTTTAGACACCAACAGTTGCCAGGAAACTATGTGTTATTCTCCCACCACCACCAAAGAACCAGTAAAATGCGCTGGCCAACCAAGGAAAAAAACAAACCCAGTCTGTCTTTTGACAACCAACTGTAACTGCTCTGGGCCAGCAACCTCCAGAGGAGCCCCACGTTCCCTTCCTCCTCGTTTTGGCCCACTTGGCCAGCACGAAAATCAAATAAACCTTTTGCAGCTGAATATCAGTCAACCTCTGATCACCTCTCTCCTCCCAACCTGCAGCAATACCTTTCCAACCTCCGTCCAGTAACGTTCCAGCTCCTACGTCTTTAATTTCTAATCCTCTCCCTCTTTCTCTTTCTCTCTCTCTCTCTCCCCCTCCTTCTCTCCCTCCCTCCTTCCTCATCCTCCTCAGTCCAACATTATTTCTTTAATAAATCCGTTTCAAGGAAATGAGTTTTATATGCATTCGTGATTTGGCCTGTATTGAGGTAAAGGGCAAATAGATCCCTTTGCCTTAGGAAATAGATTGAGTCGTGAATAAATGAAGAGCGGGGAGGAGGGGGTGGGAGAGAGAGAGAGAGAGAGAGAGAGAGGGAGAGAGAGAGAGAGAGAGAGAGAGAGAGAGAGAGAGAGAGAGAGAGAGGGAGGGAGGGAGAGAGAGGAGTTTGTCATGTGAAGAAAATGAACAGAAAAGGGAAGGAGTGGAAATCGCAACACACTCATCTTCCGCGAGTAGTTTCAATAGAATTCAGTGAAGGCAAGTATCTTCAACAGCGGGAAGCTGTCTCTCTTTAGACAGTAGATGGCAGCAAACTGCATAATTTGGACCAAAGCGAACTGTTAAAAGGGCGATTTATAACCCAACAGGGCTTCCAGAGAAGAGGACCTTTCCTTTCTATGGTTTTTCTTAAACCCTTCTTTAAAATATACAACAAATACCATGTTTATACGCAGAACATTCTTACGCCAGCTACTTACCTGTCTTATTCATAGACATTCAGTCGACCTAGGCCACTAGAGCAGCACAGAGGCTCAACCCAGGTTGGCCAGCCCTACTCTTTAACATCTCTGCTGCCACAAGTGGCTACCGCAGCTCGCTCTTTGGGGGGTGCCCTGAAGTACGACTGGGGCGCAGATATCTTTCCCATTTCCTCCATCCCAAGTTGGACGAGAAACACAAAGTAGAGAGGGAAATACTCCATGTCTAGTCTTGAAGAATGAGGTGGGGGGGAGGGAAGGGAGTGCATACCACACACCTACAGACGACACTAACTCCCAAATCCATCCTGGCCTCCATACTCACACGTCACATGTCTCGGTTCTCTTTAGCTTCTATACAAGGACCCCCCAGATGCCATTTTTTTAACACTTCAAACCTTGGCTCATGCCTCCTTCGACCCCACTACTATTTTCAGAACCTCTGTCGCTAACCTTGATTTCTTCCTATTCCATGGTGACGAGAAAGACGTGTTTGGAAAATCAAAATCAAAAGCCACATAAACAGTTTTTCTGCCTAAACTGAGAGACAGACGGAAAAGTCAGAATCCACCCTGATTTCCTGCCCCAGAGATTAACAGACTCCACTTTGGCAAATCAGGCATTTATATCTCTAGATACATTAGCTATAGAAACAATTTCGCTTAAAAAAACCCCATAACGTTCAAGCCCATGAATTTTTAGAACTACTGGCATAGAAGACTCAAAAATCAATATTTTCTGCACACACCGAAACAAATATCAACGCAAAGTACCACATAATAAATGAGACGAACATCATATATGCAATAACATAAACAGATCACAGAATAACTAGGGATAGGCAAAACCTTTGGAATGCTCTGTTCTTTTTCCTTTGAGTTCAGGTACCCTCTTCCTGCCCTTCACCCATCACTTTTAATGTCAAAATCTTCCCAGAAAAAGAAATAATGAAGCTATTAATGTGAACTGTTTATCCCTTCCACCCTTCTCTCTCCTCAGCCAGTTCCCCGCCCTTAGACAGGGTCCCAGCTCTTGCCACCCTTTTCGGAATCGGGGCCTCCAGGGATCTTCCCCAATCCAGCCTGTTTCCCATGCCAACTCCATTTGGACGCCTTGAAAACCCAGCTTCGGGGAAAAAAACTCAACTGGTACAAATGAAGAGGGCGTGAAGAGGGACTTGAACCCTCAGAGTCTAGTGAGGTAAGAACTGATTATATACTTAAACAGCAGAGAGACAGGGTAAATCTTCTCCCACCTAACCCTCTTGGTATTCTCTCCCCATATTCTTTTTCTCCACGATTAAAAAAAAAGAAAAAAAACAACAAAAAACTTTCCTCTTCTTCCTTTCACTGTCTCTCTTTATTCTTCCTCCTTCCTTTGACATCGGCCTTCCTTCTAGAACCAACTCCCCCCCCCCGCAAAAGAATTCCCCGGAAATTGTGTTCTCCATTTACCCTGAGCCTGGGGGTTCAGATCCACCTTCCTAAGGAGGAGTGGAAGTGAGGGGATGGGGTTGGACATATCCACAAGTTCAAGAAAAAAAATCATTAGAAACGAAAGATAGAAAAGCAAAACGTAGAGCGTTCCCTTACCTTTGACGACCGCATAATTTTTTTCCCTGGGATAAAAGGGTGTGGGGAGGGGGGAGAAGCGTTCGGTTTATCTTTCAGCTTCTAGATAATATTGTCCCAACCTGAGAGCCGTCGCTTCCCTCTCTGTGACTTGGGAGACAGCTCCTTGCGTTTCTGTCATTTGCATAGAAAATGGAGTAAGTTCTGGCTTTGAAAAATGGTATCAGGCTGCGGTCCGGGCAGATTTTCCATTTCCCCTCCATGGCTACTAAAAATCCCAAATCAGCAAGCAAATTAGCTGAGAAATTAAAATTATTTTTGGTTCTCTCTCTTTTGTGTAATAATCACCCCCCTTCTCTCTCTCTCTCTCTCTCTCTCTCTCTCTCTCTCTCGCTCGCTCTCGCTCTCGCTCTCCCTCTCCTCCCTTTCTCCCTCTTCTTCAGCCTATTGAGCTGATATTCGAAGTTTAAAAAAAAATATATATATATATGTATATATATATATATATATATATACATATATATATATATATAAAGAGACGAGAGCCCTAAAGGACGACACTGCTCCGACCCAAGGTGTGGTGTCCAAAAGAATACTGCATTATAACCACCAGGGAAATGATAAAAGTTCATGTTCGCGATTGCCCGTCCACATGACCGGCGCTGGCCAATCGCTGGATTCAACCACTCATAAACTTCTATCACAAAGTTGTAAATTTTCATAAAACAACAAGGAATTTATTGCATTTCTTCATGGCTGCTCCAACAGCAGTCCTTTTCTCAGTCGCCATCTTCTTTTCTCCTTCTTCTTTTTTGGGTCACCCCCAATAAAAGAAGGGGCAAGGATTTGGGGGAAGAGTTTTAGAGCAGGGGAACACCAGGGGGGCGAGATGTGAAAGGAAGTCTCTTCTGCCTATTTAGGTTCCCTAAGGATCCACCCCCACTACTAAATTAAAAAACAACAACAACACCACAACACACCCACAATCCTTTCTCATATGTATGTATGTATGTATATATATATATATATATGTATATACAAGTATACACACACATATACACAAATTTATGTATATTGTTTGCTGTTACAATTCTAGAGAATAGTGAAAGCTTCAAAGGGCTGCCGCAGAGTATCCTAAACCCCCTATTTCCCTTTATCCCACCCCGAAATCTGGTTTGTAATGCTAGCCAACAGGCTGGAAGACAGCCACCAGAGTGGGTGCTCCAAAAGCTCCTGTTCTTTCGATCGTAGCCCAAATTCTCCCCTTCGGGAGAGGGAATAACACAAATAGGGATAGAGATGGTAGTAGCGGCTTAGGCCTGACACCCCCAAACTGTCTCACACGAACCCCTGAAGTTCCGCTTTAGGAGGTGGGGCATAGACCGGGCAGGACGACATTAAGGTCGAAGTGGAAAGACAAGATTTTAGGAAGAAATCCAGACTGCCAAGTGGGATTTTGGAGACTTTGGGGGTGAAATGGCTCCTTTAAAAGAAAAGGCAAAATTTAAAAGGATGGTTAAAAAAAAGTCCACTCAAATATTCTTTCCTCTGTTCTTCCCTGCTTTCCCTTTTTCTCCTTTTGGTGCTTTTTTGGAGTTAATATAAAACTAATCTAGACTATTTAATAATACACCCTACAATTTGAATGGATGCCCAATATACTTTGGGCACTGCTGGAGACCTCTGCTTGAGAATAATTATATTTCTTATTAGAAATGTATGTGTGTATATGTATATATGTTTATGTGAATACACACACACACACACACACACACACACACACACCTTCATTCCTTGGCCTCCCAACACTCAGGGATTTTTTGCGTGTTTTAAACTAGGAGGAAAACAAAGACCTTATTTCTGTTCTCTTTCTTCGGATAGATTTAAGAAAGTACGACCACGTTCGAGACCATTAGAAATGGAACTGAGGAAGTGGGGAGCCAGCAGGAGCCTGGAGGCCCTCCCCGACTGACGCATTGCGGTTGCCTCCCCGGTCTAAGGAATCCAGGCTCCAACTGACCTGCTCTTCAAACCCCAAGTCTACTAGTGCCCTCTTAGGACTCGCTTCCTCCTTCTTTCCTCTCATTCCTCCTTTTCTTTTTTTCTTGCTTCCATACACACACAGACACAGACACACACACACACACACACACACACACACACACACACACACACACACGCACACCCCAATGGAAAGATAATGAAATCAAATAAAAGAAATTAAGGCCGAAACAGAGCTTGCTCAGGAAGGCGGTTAATAAAAGGAAGCTGGTTTGAGGCACTTGATTTCCCCGTCTAATTGCCCTCATTGGCTTTCCCTACTTTGATGTGGAACAGGATTTGGCGATAATAAAATAAGGACTTTCGGTCTGCAATAAACTCATCTCCACACAAAACCAACTAAGCCTTCTTCCCTGCATCGTCCTCTCAGGGTGACTCGGGAGAAAAAAAACCATGTATTTTATTTTCTTACTGCCGCACTTTTCAGTCTCTCCCTTCTCCCCTTTAATGTTTGCTTTCTGAGACCTAGAATTTTGTTTGTTCTTTCTTCGTGTATTGTTGTTTTTATCCTCAGACTTCGTTTGAAGACAGAAAAAAGTAAATGGTAACTGAGATAAAAACTCTTAAGTGGTAGAGGTGGGGCGGAAGGCTTAGAGATTTAGGGAAAGGACAAGAAAATGTGGGAGGAAGGCCCTTGGGAAAGGAAATACCTGCTTCCCAGGCCTCAGATCCAAAGAGAAAAGGTATTTTTAAAAATACACACACCAAAAGAAGCCAGCTCCAGGAGATGTTGAGGCTGAGAGGGCCAAGCTGCCCAGACATTTTGCAGCCTACGAATATTTATAAAGAGACGAAGAAGAATGGCCCCTGGTTTTGTTTTTATTATTTTATTTCGTTTTGTTTTATTTTCATTATATTTTTAATACCTTTCAAACATGTAAAATTTGCAGACAATCACGGCACTGCCACGAACAAATACGGAGGGGGGTGAGGGGGCAGAAGTGGGATAAAAGACGCAGGTAAGAGAACTGTTTTTCTTCCCGTTTCCTAAGTATTATATAAACAATGTCTTTCTCTAAACAGCTTTTCCAGAGCCCCCTACCCTGAAAGGAACAGACGGGTTCCGGGAAGGACAAGACTAGGAATAGGAGGTGGGGGGGGGGGAAGAGAACCACATATTACTCCAGACCCAAAATCCACAAAGATACCGTTAAAGGGTGAATACAAACAGGAAGTTTTACAAAGACCTTACAATAGACCCACAATAGAAAAGAAACGGTATATTCCGAAAAGCTACATAACGGGTAGGTAGATATTATTCTCCTAATGTACAAAACAAACCTCGAATGAACTTTAATATAGGTAGTATTTTTTTTTCAGTGTTAAGAAACCATAAAGGTTGACCTCTCTCTTTCACACGCTCTCTTTCACACTCTTCCTTTTAAATAGTCTTTATTTTTTTCTTAATTTATTTTTCTTGGTTCATTTTACGGAATGGACTCTCTCTCTCTCTCTCTCTCTCTCTCTCTCTCTCTCTCTCTCTCTCTCTCTCTCTCTCCTTTCCTCTCTCTCTTTTCTCATTTTCTCTCTCTGTCTCTCACTCCTCCTCATCTTCCTCAGCCTCTGGTTTATCTGGGTTGTTGGAACTGGGGCAGGTGGTCTTGTTCTCCTTTTTCCATTTCATCCGTCGGTTCTGGAACCAGATTTTGATCTGTCTCTCGGTCAGGCATAGGGCGTGAGCGATCTCGATGCGTCTCCTCCGGGTTAGGTAACGATTGTAGTGGAACTCCTTCTCCAGCTCCAGGGTCTGGTAGCGGGTGTATGTCTGACGGCCTCTTTTGCGGTCTGTCCCTAAGAAGTAAATTGAGGGGAAGAAATGGAATCAGCTATCGAAACTGATCGGGTGCCACCCCACCACAAACTTCCTACTTATATTTCATAATGGGGCAGAATTAAGACCTTTTTACCCTCCTGTACTCAAACCCACTTTCTGAAAACTCAAGTTAATTCCCCCAAACTTCTCTGTATTACCAAAGGCACATACACATTTCTACAGACCACGAATGAGGCAATGAAGACTCCCATTTTATTCAGATAATCAGTGAATCTTTCTCCCAGGGAGAGCCTGGGAAGATCGAATTTATCCCAGGGAAATTGATTCATTTTGCACACACACACACCCTCTTTTTATGGGGAGTCCCCAACCACTTGATAATAGAGGTTCTTTCCCAGATCAGTCTTCTCTCTCTCTGGGACTCAGAGGCTTTTACTTTTCCTGCAGTCTGGAGAAAGCTAAAAGGCCAGAGAAAGGATCCCCAGAATTGGAGCGTCCAAGGAAGGAGCCTACAGGTCCACAATATTTCTTTCTCCTTGAGGAGAAGAGTAGACAAAAGGAGTCCAAAGCTTCCCAGGCTTACTCCTCAGCCCTGTAGTTTGTTGGGAAGAGAAATAAAGCTAAGTTCAATAGGAAAGAACGACAGATGGAGGCCTGGAGTTGGTTTGCATTGGGTTTACTATGATTATTTTCTAGTAGCTATTTCAGGGAAAGGTCTTGCCAGGCCTCCCACCCTCCCCACATGCCAACTCTCCCAGTGGAGCACTCCAAAGAAATCACAGTTGTGAGCTGAGCCTGGGGAAGGGGGAGTGAGAGGGAGAGCAGTCTAGAACAGTTATTAAGCGTTCTTCTTGGAAGGTGAATGGACAAGATAGGGGAGATCTTACCAGTCCAGGCCGAGTTCCTCCTTCCCACTACACATACTTAGGCACTCTAAAGACTCCAGCCCCCTTTGAAGGAGGTGTAGTTGGGCTTGAGTTAAGGGAGGTCTCTGGGCCAGGCAGTTTGCAAAGGACTTAGGGGGTGGTGGAGGGGCCAAGGGGCCCTAATTTAAAGTCAGATAAAAGCCAGCTGAAATGTTTATGAGCAGAAAAATTTGGGCTTTGATAAATCAACTGTAAACATGGATGAATTATAGAGCAGGTAATGGGGAATTTGACCACCAATAATTATCTAGGAATTGCAGGTTTGACCAAGCAGGGAGCAATGCTCTCAAAGTGCCCAGTGCCCGATTTCTATGCTTCCCAACATTACCTCCATCACACTCTCAGGCCAGGACCCTGGTAACCCCTCCAGAACAAGAGCCAAGGGCCCAAATTCTCCTCCTGAATAAAGAAAGTCAATGAAGTTTCCAACACTGACCTCTTCTGAGTAGTTTGGGGCCAGGAGGAGACTGAGCAAGACCCTGCAAGAATTGAGCTTTCCAGGAATGAATGAGTTCCCCTCAGCCCCCTGGGGCCAGCCTTCCAACTTGGTCTGTTGTTGGAAATTCTCCTGGGGACCAGTTTTGTTCATTGGCTTTAGGCTCTATACGCTGGCAGGTTACTTTCCTTTAACCAAAGTAACAAACTTCTTAGCCACTTATTTCTTGGATGTAATTGACAGCACCTCCCAAGTGGGAATGAATGAGACAGGGCAGGAATACATACACCTGACACACCAAGGATGAGGGCTGACTCTGAGAGGCTTCTAATGCACCTTCTATCCCAAATTCATGGAGGGTGGCCCCTCCTCATGTTTCTCATTTTCCCTCTCCCTCTCAAACTGCTTGGTCCCCAAGTGGACCTGAGCCCCCTTTCCCTATTCCTCCTCATCCTGGGCCTCATTTAACCTTCTCCATCACGGTTTAGGGAACCCACCTCTAATTACCCTGATGCCCACCCAAATTAGAATAATGGGTGAGAAGGGTTGGGTGGGAAGATGGGGGGGCTTGTCTCTTAGCTGCCATTCTCCTTTCCCCTCCCCTCCCCCGACCCTTTCAAGACAGGGGTTGAGCGACACACCCAGAGAGATGAAATCACCAACAGGGAAATGGGGTGGGTGGGAGATTGAGACTGCCGAGGGGAGGGGGGAATCTAATGGCTATTATTCCTACAAACCCCAGCCTTTCTCACCCAGACAAACCGCCTCCCCCGAGCCAGTCCTGGCGCAGCTGATTAATATTTAAAGCTAAAAGGCAGGGATGGGGGGGAGGGGGGGAAGCGGTGAGCTAAGGGGCTCCAGAGCCACGGAGAGAGGAGAGCGGTCCTTTCGGAAAGGCAAAAGGCCCTATATGGTACCGGAGAAATATTCGAATTGGAGGTTCAGGCCAGGGTTGAGGTTTGAGGGACCCTCAGGAAAGACCTATTCTGCAGCCGCAGAAAAGCAGCCCATTCTCCAGTAGACAACAGAACAGGGAGGGTGGTGAGGTATTTAGGGAGGTGTAAGAAGACAACCTCTTGTTGAGGGAGGGGGAGAAAGGGAGAGGAAAAGAAGGCTGGTGGGGGTTCAGGGAAGGGTGGGGATTGGGTGGTTATTTTTTTTCCCCTTCTTTCATTCTGATTCCTCGAATTGGAGGATTACCTGTGCTCCGCATCCACGGGTAGATCCGGAAATTACTTTCAGCGGCCAAGTCGGACTCCCTCTGGTCCTTGCCGCCGCCTGCCTTGGCAGAGTCGCCGGGACACATCACGGAGAGGTTTTGCTCAAAGGGCGCGCAGTGCATGTTGAAGGAACCCGCCTCCAGCCCATAGCCGGCCGTGTAGACGCCGGCCGCGCTCTGCCCCGCCATCCCCCCCCCGTTGGGGTACAAGCCCGGCATGGAGGCAGCGAAGGAGGCGCCCGAGCCCGCTCCATAGCCCGGGCGCTGGGCGTTGGGTGCGAAAGCGCAAGAAGTTTGTTCGGGGAAGACTCCGGGAGGGAAAACCGAACTTGCGGCTGGATATTTAGAAAATAAAGCATTCGCATAATACAATGAACTCATAATTTGGCCGGATGATTTGTAGGCAGGGACGTTTTAGTGTCGGTTTTACGAGATTCCTTGATATATTACGGAATTAGAGTCCAGATTTACACCAAAAAGGACCCCCTTTTTCCTCGGTGGGCCACGTGACTCCAGCCCACGTGACGGTTCCTCCTCCAATGGTCGTCCAGCCTCCCCACGGCTCCCGGTAATGTGGAAAAAATTGTGGTGGCGTTGGGTTTATAAAATATGATCAATAATGAATGGAGGGCCCAAGCCTTCTGCACCGGGCCCGGCCGAGGGGGCCCCGGGAGGGGGCGCGCGGGGGCCGCAGGCCGGGATCCGGGGACAAGGTGGGGGCCCTCGAAAGCCCCGAAAAGGGGGTGTGAGCCCAGGCTGGGCTGGGGTGAGACCCAGACACCTCCCCCACACCACACACACACACACACACACGCACACACGCACATTCATGCACACTCATGCACCCACACGAACGTCGGGCACCGGGCGCTATCCCTCCAGCCCCAGCCGCCGGCTTGGAACAGAAAAAAGGGAGAGACGAATGGACGCGAAAAGCAGCTTAGATCTTTATTGATCCCGGCGAATCTCTCTATGTCTTTGGGGGAGTTGATCCCGATTCTACTCCCTCCAGAGCGTGAGAGAGGAGGGAGGGGGGGCCAAGGGGAAAGCCATTCCTGGAGCGACCCCCTCCCCCCTCCAGACAAATGAGTCCATTGATAACCAATACTTCACTTTTTTTTTTCAAATGCCATTCAACGCTATATTTATGTATTCCGAGCCACAGGCGTTGGGCAGCGTTAGAGCATCAGTTCTTGGTCTTCGTGTAGCTTAAAAAAAGAGAGAGAGAAAGAGAGAAAAGAAGAAGAAAAAGGAGAAGAAAAGTGGTGGAAAGAAGTGAGGGGGGAAGGTCCTGAGCATACTGATCTCCTTGTTCCACAAGGCAGGCAGGAAAGCTCCCTTCTCAGGAACATTAGAACTGAAGGGAAAAGGCCAGCCAGCTGCTGCCCTGAGCGCAGGGGACAGATCTCCAAGAGTTGGGAAGGTACCTGTTCCCTGAAAAGGAGGGGAAGGGGAAGAAATCACCCTCGTTTGCCCCTTTCCCCCCCCCCCCCCCAACCGTCTTCCTCGATCCTCAGAAAATAGAAATATCTCTGTGTATCTGGAGCCTCCCTCTGGCCCTCTGGCTATACAGACACATAGACACAGAGGACAAATACTTAGACAAAGGGGGGGGGGAGATACCGCAGACACAATCCTCAATGTCCCACAGTCCAGCCCAGTAGCCTCCTTCTCAGGGGGCAGGAGGGCAAACCCGGGGGCCTAGGAGGAAACAGGGAGAGGAATTCCCTTGGCTCACCCGCACCCCCCTTTCCCAAGAGTCTCACAGCTCTCCAATCAAACAGAAGGGATCCCTCACCCCAAATCCCCCTCAGGCCCCAGGGCTCCCACCACCTGCCTCCAGTCCCCCTCTCACCCTCCCCCACTTCCCCGCCTCCTCTGCTCCTGGGACTGGGCGCCGCTGGCCAAGCCCCCTGCCTGGGTCCCCCTAGCTCTCTGAGGCATCCTGGAGCGAATGATACAGAGCAGCCCCCGTCTTGTCACGGGTTCTCGCTTGTAAACTTTATTGTAACTCTTCCGCCCTTTTCAGGCGCAGACAACAGAACAAAGTATAGAGGCACAACAAAATATATAATTAGTCCCCCCTCCCCCCATAAAGCAATTCACGGATACAGGATACATTCTCTTCACAGTAAACCTAAGAACACTTTAACAATTGTTCCACTGTGCGCATGCTAACTAAAGTAACCTCTTTTGAGAAACACTTAAGACGAAATTGTCAACCAAAGGGAGAAAAAAAAGAAAGCGAGCGAGAGGGAGGCGAGGATCGGGGAAAGAGGAAGGGAAGGAAAGATTGAGGCAATGAAGACGGGGAGAGACGGGGAGAGAAAGAGACAGAGATAACTACAGCATAAATAGGCAGTTTCATGTTGTTGGGATGACTTATCAGAAATAGATACCTCAGTCAATACAAAGAACCACTAAAAGAAAAAATCATAATTGCACAATGCCAATTTTTACAGAAGGGACTCTAGCATTGAAAGCGGGGGGAGGCCTTTGCGTTATTTTTTCTAATAATTTTTTTTTGGCCCCGTTCAGAGAAAAGGAAGAAACTCAAAGAGAACTCACAGTTATGGTATACAGAAGCTAGTACGATACACTATCACTAGAAACAACGGGCACAGGCGGAGAAAGCTGCCTCGCTGCTAACCTGCTTAGAATAACTTGCACTTTGCATATAGTTCGGTTGCATCAAAGGTCGATCAGGAAAGGTGATGCATATAGCCTGGTTACAGCCAGAGCAGGGTGACTAGACGCGGGGAGTGGGGGGGCAGGGGGAGCTTGCTGGCTCCCTGGCGCCGCTAGGGAAGGGAAAGGAAAGGAAGGAAAGGGGTGTCGCATGACCAATCCATCCACCGTCCCTCGCAGTCTGTCGGCAAAGCTATTTTTTGTCTGCTTTCTGTCCTTCCCCCTCTTCCTCCGCCTCCTGGGCCCGTTCCATTTTCTGTTTTTCCAACTCTTCCTGCTCGCACTTGCTGCTGGGAAACTTATCTTTGTTGTTCTCCTTTTTCCACTTCATTCTCCGGTTCTGGAACCAGATTTTGACTTGTCTCTCTGTCAGTCCCAGGGCATGCGACACCTCGATCCGCCGCTTGCGAGTCAGATAGGGATTAAACAGAAACTCCTTCTCCAGCTCCAGTGTCTGGTAGCGACTGTAGGTTTGTCTGCCTCGCCTGCGTCCGGCGGCTGCTGGGAGTGGGGAAAGAGAGGAGAGAGAGGGGAGGGGAGGTGGGAATGGAGGATGGGAGGGGGGAGAGAGGAAGAGAAGGTTGAAAGATACGTGAAACAGGCTAGGAGAAGAGTACAATAAAGACAGAGTATCTTACTCTCGACGAGGGGTGGGGAGAGATGGGCAGGGGGGATGGGGGTGGAGGCAACGGTCAGCAGAGGGGAGTAGGAAATGCCTATGGGGTGAGGGCAGGGGGGTCAGATACAACCGAATCAAAAGAAGTGGGAGAGAAAAGGGGGACACCCCCCACACACACTGCCCAGAGCCCTCTTCGGAGAGGGCTACTGGGTTCCTAATCATATAAATGCGCCATAAACTTTGGAAAGAAGGAGGTGGAGAGGAGAGAATAAAAAAAAGGGGGGGATCGACCCACCTTGAAAAGCCCCCAGAGCCTCTACCCTGAGAAGAAAAGTTTCTTCAGGGTAATTAAACTATAAAGCAATTTACAAGTGCAAAAGTTAAGAGTCCTCCACCACTACCCCCAGCCCCACTCCCATCACCCTGTCCATATGCCCCATAAAACAGTTTACAAAAATAGATGGAAGAAGAAAAGCAGGAGAAAGGTTGGGGGTGGGGTGGGGTTATGGATTCAGGAAATGTTTTTTAGTTATTCCCTTTTGTGAAAACACACGCATACACTCACAAAATCTCCCTCTCCCCTGCTCGGTACCCCATCGACTGGCTGTTTTCCCCTGCCCTCGGCCGTCTGCTGGCCGGTCCTTCTTGTCTCCCTCCCAGCCTTACTCCTCGCTTCTTTCGCAGCCTCACCTTGCGGTCGCATCCAGGGAAAGAGTTGCGTGGGAGAAGGGCTCTGCTCCGAGCCCTCAGCTTCTTCCCCCAGGCCGTTGGCGGCGGCGAGCTTGCAGTCGGCATACTGCACCAGGTCCGAGTCCTGGGCCCCGAAGAGCGTCTGTCTCTGCAACGGGTCGTAACCGTAGAAGTTGCTCGGATCCCCATGACAAGCCACCGCGCACGGGTTCTGCTGGTACGGGGACGTGGAGAGCGAGGACGCCCCGTGATAGAATTCCTGAATTTGCGTCGGATGCTGGAAGCTGCCTCCGGTACTGGGTCCATACACCACGGTGGGTCTTCCGCCCAGATCCTGGGCGAACCCGCAGTCATAATAGTTGGGGCGCAGGGACTCCCCAGTTTTGTATTTGGAGAACAGTGAGTTGACGAAATAGGAGCTCATTTTATTGAATTTTTGGTGGCGGCGTCGGTGTTGGGGGTTATTGGGGAGGGGGTGGGGAGGGGGAAAGGGAGGGAGAGAGAGAGAAAAAAAACACGAATCACCGGCTCTAGTGCCCCTCACCAGGCAAGGAGAGGGAAAGGAAGAAGAGAGGGAAAAAAAAAAAAAGAAAAGACGAAGAAGATCTCGAAGCCGCAACACTTTGTTGTGATTTCCAGGAATATAAAAGGACAGGATAATCGTCAAAAAAAAAAAATCTAAGCTTGCATGGTAGCGAAGACTCACCCTCCCTCCCCCCCCACCCCCCCAACCCCCAAACAAAAATATACCGCCACTTAAAGAGTTCCTCGCTTTACATTTCGGAGAAGGGACGGCAGTTCATAAACAGTTTTCGGTGATTTACTTCCCTGCAAATGAGTTCTTTCATATTTTGCACTGTCTTTTCATGATCATTTGCATCCATTAGAGACCCCTCATCCTATTGGCTTCTCCGTACTCCTCCCGGACTGAGCTAGCGAGCGAGCGCGGCGCGGTGGCGAGAGCAAGAGAGGGAGGGAGGGAGACAGGGAGGGAGGGAGGGGGAGAGAGAGAGGGAGGGAGGGAGAGAGAGAGAGAGAGAGAGAGAGAGAGAGAGAGAGAGAGAGAGAGAGAGAGAGAGAGAGAGAGAGGGGAAAACACTTAAGGAGAGGAAGAGGAAAGGAGAAGATAGGAAAGGAGGGAGAGGGAGAGGGAGGGAGGGAGAGAGAGAGAGAGAGAGAGAGAGAGAGAGAGAGAGAGAGAGAGAGAGAGAGAGAGAGAGAGAGAGAATACGGATTAAATATGTTTAACTACCTACATTAATGAGATATATCTAGCCTCACAACAAATCAAATACCTTCGAGGACCACCCCCAAAGAATGATGTGGGGGAGTCGTGGAAAGGGAAAGGAAAAAAAAAAAACTGGGAGGCGTCAGGCCCCGCTGTTAATTTCGCGATTTTAACGAGGCAGTTGGAGTCTTTCTAAATGTCAGGGTCGCTTTGGAAAACTGTAAAAGAACACGGTTTAATTGCGCCGAGTTTTAAAAGGTCCTATAAATGTAATTGGTATTTTAATACAAGTTATCAAATCATACAGCTCCTTCTCCTAAACATATTTTAAAACAAACGAGGTCGTCATATTTAAGGTTTTAATGATCAATTTCCTTATTATTGATAAAGGTTTAACTATCGTATGGAGGGAATTGGCTTTGTAATAGGGCCCCCAAAAACGGCTGTAAACTCTTTAACAAACTATAAAACGCCATAAAGCCGAGGCTGTTGTTGTTGTTTATACCACAGCGCATAAAAGCTGTTAGCATTTTACGAGTTCCTTCCTCTACAGCTATAAAATCACGGGTTCGATCGGCCCCCTCCGCCTTATTGCTAGATGTTGGGGGTGTCAATGGCGAAATTAAAATGATTATGGCTTTTCCGGCACGATCGGCAACTTTGGCAGGGGATTTGCACCCTTCCTGTTGCAGAAGCTGGGGGTCTTCCCTCCAACCCTAAAACTGCTCTTCACCGCCCCCCCAACACCGCAGATTCGCCCCCACTTTTTCTCTCTTTTTCTTTCTTTCTTTTTTAAATACAAGATACTCAGGAGAGGGGGGGCTATGGGAGGGGTTGGGGGAGAGTAAAGGAGGGAGGGAAGGTGGGGAAAGGAAGGAGAAACTTTACCGACGTTGGAGCATGGAGCAGAGTTGGCCCCACGACTGCAGACACCGCAGTTTTGCACAATCTCAGCACTGAGTGGGGGAAATAAGGAGGGGGCAGGGCTGGGAGAGAGGAAGGGGGTGTGTGTGTATCTGGGGGGGGGGGACAGACTCCAGAAGGCTCTGCGACCCAGTCAGCGCTTTTAGGGATGTATTTTTTGTGTCTGAGATGGCACAGTCGGGCTGTCACCAATCCCTAAAAGGACCAAGGGCCGGCACCCACACCTCCCAGCTCAATAGCCGAACTGTTTTCGCTACCCCCCCACACCTTTGTTTGTTTTTTTTAATATTATACAGCATATAGCATTCCTACCCCAACCGAAATAGGGCCCTCCCCAATCAAAAGCAACATGTAAAAGGGAGAAAAGGACTAGCTACCTTTCGGGCTACCAGCTTATGCCTCGGTCGCCCAATACTGAGGGCGTCTTTGAGCTCTGACTGTAAGCCGGGGGCGGGGGGGGGAAATAGTTTGTTTAGGAGGGGGCCCAAAAATAATCAGATCTCCGTTGGCCTCTGTCACCTCCTGACCTGAAGATAGGATAGGCAAGTGTGTGTATGGGAGGGATTGGAAAGGAAGGTTTGGGCACTCGGAATCTTCTATTTGCAACCGGGTTCTACTTGACCCAGAAAACTCGGCTCTGCGAAAGGCATTACAAAAGACAGTTGCTGAGGCCTGGATGTAGTTCTAATGGCCGGGACCTATTAGCGTTCAATGTGCCCCTTTCTCTGCCTCCTCCTTGACTACCATGGTGTGCCCTGGCCTGTCCGGCACTAGAGAGTCCATCTCTTCCTTGAGATCGTTTTCCTTGCAGGGGGGAAAAAGGGAAATTAAATGGATTTGTATCCAAGATATTAGCGTTTTCGTTTTTGTTTTAATTGACATCAAATGTCTTCCGGTACACTTCTCCGAACTGGGCTTAGGCCTCCATTTTTCAGAGCCCTTCGAACATCCTTCCCTTCCCCGACTTACCGCTTTGGTTTAAAATAAGGAGTGCTACTCTCTTGTTTGAGTAGTACCCCCACCCCAATCGCAACTAATCTCCTGCTGAACGTCTCCTCCATCCCTGCCACCTACGAGGGGGCAGAATTTCCAGGAGGAACTCAATAGTGGATTCTGGAGAATGGGAGAGAGATACAAGAGAAAAGGAGAGAAACGGGAAAGGAGAGGAGAAAAGCAGAGGAGACAAAGGGGGCTCGGAGAAAGAAGGAAGCCAGGGAAAACTGGGGGGAACGAGGCAAGAGTGAAGCGATTGTAGGAAGTTAGCATTTTTATCAAGTTCGGAAGCTTTTTATTGCTAAGGCGTGGAGTGAACTCACCAGTAAGGCAGGAACTCACCACGAATGGGGAAGGCTCCTTCTAAATCATCCCACTACTGTACCGGAGATTCCCGAAGAAAAGAAAATGTTTCTATTATAAGAGAAAACAAGGAAGAGTGAGAGAAGAGAATTTATAAACACCCAATGGAGGCTAGATTTATTAGGGAGGTGTAAGCTGAGGGGGAAACTGAATTTGCAGCCTGTGTCCTCTCTCGGGTAGGGAGACACGGGAATTCCTGAGCTAACCAATGCAGTAGGACCAAGGCCCTCTCATTCCGCTCTCGTGGTAGGGTAGGGGAGACCCGGAATTGGGGAAGGACTGGAAAATCGCCGGGGAAGCCTGATCGTGCAGTCAAGGAGGACAGGATCCCAAGAGGATATCCCCTCACCCAGATCTCTCCAAATCAAGATTTCTGACCTCAGAGTAGCAAAAAAAAAAAAGGCAACAACTTGCCCTCCTACATCCCTCCCAAGTGCCCCCAAAATCCAAGTAGCTGGCTTGCCCAGAATCTTTGCTTGATGGAACCGGACAGATTCAGTCATCAAGATCTTTAAGAAAAAACAAAAACCCCGCACAGTAAAGGGCATTTTCAGACACCAGTGTTCGCGTCGTCGAAATCCGAAGAAGTCTAAACTATTCCTCAGTTCCAAGGAGACTAGCCGTATGGAGGCCCCAGGAACCTTAGAATATCTATATAGATAAGTACACAGGTAAGTAGGTAAGGTGTCCAGACAGACGACACAAACAGGCAGACAAACATTTCAAATCCCTCCTATTTCAAAGACCCACTCGTCTAGCTCCCTTATTACAAGAGGACCAAAATTCCAGAGGGTGTCCCACAAACTCCTTTGCTCCAAACCTCAGGAAAGTGCCATTGCTCGACCTGTTTCCTCCCTAGCCTGCCTTTCCTGCAGTCAGGCCCAAGTCCCCACCATACTGACTCTAAAAGTCAAGCTTTCCCCTGAAGATGACTTCTCCCTAACACCCTGGGGCCATCCTCCTTTCCCTACCCCTTTTCACCTGTCCTTCTCTATATCTAGGAACCATTCATATATACCCCTAAAAAATCCTGTACCTTGGAACTACTGCCTCATGTTTATCTGGACACATTATTAGTGATTTAGTGTCCATTTTAACATATTTGTTAGACCCTTACCAAGCCTTCCACTTGGGGAACAGGGATCAATTTCTTCTCAGTGGGATTCTAATTCCTTATTTCCTAGGAAAGGTGGGAACAAATATTTATATATGTATATACGTTATATATACACACAAAATTGGGAAATGACCATAATTAGCCCGATATCTTTATTACGTCCAAATTATCCCTGACTTTCCGTAAATGTGCAATTTACTAGCTTCTGGGACCGCTAAGGTGATGTTTAAAGTCCTGGTGCCCTAGAGCCAGCGCTCCGGGGATTTTAGCATGGAGCAACGGCGCCATCTAGCGGTCATCCCTCTACAAGGGCTGACCTGGAGCAGCGGTCCAACCTGGTTGCAGGGAGAAAGGGAAAGGAAGAAAACAACAACAACAACAAACCAAGACCTTTGGTTATTAGCAAAGGGAGGAAGAATGTGAGAGAAAGAGAAAGAGTTGAAATCAGGAAACGGTTCATGAGGTTTTGCGGATAGGCAAAAAAAAAAAGACAAAATAAAAGAAGACATAAGCGGTTTTCTCCTCATTCTCTCCCCCGCCACTTCTGCCTGGAAGCCTGTAGCATTGCAACGTTTATGGACCATACAAGAAGGCCGGGGGGGGGGCGGTGCGGAATGAGCGCTTTTGAAAAGCCACACAATTGTTTCGAATCCTGAGACTAAACAATTGGGCTTTCTATAGGGAAGAAGGGACAGAGAGGACTAGAGGGGAGAGAGGGGCTGTAAATAGATGAGAGCCTGCCCGGATCCAGACGTCTCGCCTTAACTTTGTGTGTGTGTGTGTGTGTGTGTGTGTGTGTGTGTGTGTGTGTGTGTGTGCGGGCGCGCGTGTGTGTAGAGCTTCGTTTACGACTCTCGATTCTAGAAGCCTGCAACTGTTAAGTGGGAGGAAAGGGGTGGGGGGGGTGGGCAGAGAACAAAGAGATGAGTCCGGAATGCAATATCTAAAGCGTCTGTGACAACAAAGTCCCCTTCCCTCCTCCCATCTTTTTTTCCCCCTTGTTACGCCTTCCCCCTTCCCCCTCCTCTCACCCTACACCCTTCGCCACCCCTAGTATGTGTTTGTGTGTGAAACTTCTAGGTGTCCACAGATGTAGCCC